TTCACAAGGCCAGTCACAAGTAACAGGGTGAGCGATGACAACAGAATACTTTTGTTACAGCTCCTTTGAATTTCTTGCGAATTGGCTTAAAACTCAATGACTTGTGATGGACTAATGATGGACTGTAATACAACGCTGCTAATTATAAAAAGAGTTGTCAACTGTTGGAATAAAAAATGTCTCTTTTAAAATCTACCCACTGGCTTACTACTGAGTTCCAATTCTTTGCGTCGAAGTTAAAACACAGTGGTGGAATAAATACATGTAGAAATATTCCACATTGTTAGGAAATATGCCTCGACTGGTCCTAGGGACCACTTCAACAAGGACTTTTGACTGGCATTTGGCAGTGTTATGTTTGCACCCTGTAAAGGATGGGTATTAGAAACCATCTCCAAAGACAGAATATAAAGAAACTGTGGAATTGGTCTTATGGACGTTAAGTTGCAGTGTACCATAGATAGATCCTTTGATGGACATCAGCTGTTACACATAACCAGTCAACACAGCCCGGGTAATCACCTGAGGTCAAATGCAACACCTGTCCTTCCAGTGACTAGAAACAGACTCAACTAATGCTATAAAAGAATTTTTTCTGTGACCGCTCCCTAGAGGAAGCCCTAGGAGGGTACACCCCTTCCTCGGTGTCCTGTTCTCCCCATGAATGAACTTACGCTCTCTGTCTGTCATGTCCCCGGCTTGACATCTCCTGCACTCTGGCTGGTTGGGTGCGCTCCCTGGCTCTGTAGAAACCTCCGGAAGGATTCCGCCTCTCTCAGCTCTTCCTCTTCTGTTCCCATAGACGAAAACAAGAAATTTAAAATGTAACCATGAGGCAAGCAGAGGACTTTTCCCCCACCACACCAACAAATCTTTCAGGTATATGCTTTTTATTGATGGACATTTGTGACCATTTCCTGCAATATGAATATTTTAACCAGTTTTGTGGTTTCAGTTTGCATTCTGAAGGGCCAGCTGTTTAAGTTCTTTCAAAGCATCTCTCCGTTTGGCGTCCTTATGAAAAATGACACTGTGGGTGAGACAGTATTGAGAGTGAATGGCTCATTTGACGGGATAATCTAAGTTTCTTGGCAAAAAAGAGCCAAAGATATTTCCATTCTAGACTCCCCTCTAGATGGGAAAGAACTGCATCACCAGATGCACCCTTCTGATAACGTTAGTACTAGGTGGAAAGGCTTGTGGTAGCACCTTGTGAAGGAATGCGCGAGTATACTTCCGGTTCTTTTCAGAACCACTCATACTCAAAAGAGATATATTCCTCCGCATGGTGCTAGCGCAAGCCTTTCCACCTATTGCTGTCTTTCACCATGAATAGCCTGAAATTCCAAAGCTAGTACTGTGATACATCTCCACTTCCGGAGGGGAGGGGCAATAGAGGCTTGATCTAGGGCACAATATATTTGCTAGCCGCACATCTTTAAAGAGCCAAAGAAGCATTGCGTGACAGAGAAGTGGCCAGGGGCAAGTGGGCTGCTCTGCAATTACTCCGTTTTTAGA